CCATCGGTCGTTGAAAGTAGTTTTTTTTTGATTCCCAGATTCCAATCTGCTTTCAGCGCCTCCCTACCTCAAGAGTCGAGTGGTTTCCCCTCTTCCTTCCTCTTTAGGAGGCGGGCGGAAACCCAATGTATTTCCAACGCCTTCCTACTTCATGCTTCTGCCTACTTCTTCCGACCGATGGGCACCAGATCCGGGCGCGGTGTTGCTCATCACGGAGCGCACTCCGCTGACCTCGCAGAGTGCCTGCTCGCAAGCGTTCGACAAAACATGGGCTTGCCTCCACGCATGGTATCGTGCAGAGGAGGGAGAGGTACCCATACTGCTACCTTTTCCTCGTTTTCCCCTTTTTGGGCCTCCTGGGAGGCCCTCGTCGCCACCGTCGGGTTCGCCTCGACATTCTCGTCAGAACGCACCCCGGGAGAGGTCCGGGGAGTAGCGGTATCGGTACCTTTTGAGTTCTCCAATCGTAGATCCCCCGCGGCATATCCCGGCCGTTTGCGATCAGTTACTCCGCGCGCAGCGGAACGCGCCTGTCTGGTTCGAGTCCGCGGGCACAGCTGGGCACAAGCGGGCACGAGGCCGGTGCAGGTGCCCGTCCAAGGCAACGGGCGGGGCGTGCCGTGAACAAGTTGGGGCAGGACGGGGCGCGGGAGGGCAGGAGGGGCGGAGAAGGAAGAGCCGCTCAGAGCGTGCAGTGCATCACGGGCGTGCCGAAGATGAGCAGCGAGCGCAAGGCATGCACGGTGATGTGGTCCATGGGGCCTGGAGGCGGGGGCGGGGCGGGGGGCACCCAGGTACGCGAAGCAATCGGGTAAAACCTCCGCACGTGACGGCGAAAGACCAGGTGAAGACCAGAGCCAGAGGCGAAACGTCGTACCACCGTGGCGTGGGCATCGACGACAAGGGTCCGCAGAAGGTGGTGCTGTGAAACAGGCACGAGGGCTGCGAAACCAAATCGGAGCGGGGCCCAGGGAACGACCGTGCAGGACCTGACCGATGAGGTGAGCAGGCGCAGGCGCCGAGGGAGCACAGAACAGTGCGGAAGAAGGCGGTGGACAAGATGAACACGACAGCCCATGTGATCAGGGGGTCTTTGGCACACGAGCGCCGAGGATGATCCGCAACTGAGTACCAGGGCGGCGAGAAGCCGGACCAGCGTGGGAGTGGGACGTGAATCGCGCGAACGTCACAACCAAAGGTCACAGCGGCCCACCTCCAAGCAGCCGCCGCTCTGAGCATAGACCAGATGAGTAAGGGCCCCCGGGACGCGGCCAGGGGAGGGGCGACCAGCAACACAGCCACCAGGGCGGCGAACAGCCAGAGCAGCGTCGGAAAAGGGGACGCGAAGCGCTCGAGCGACACAGCCCCAGGTCCGCGAGAACCGCACGGAGAAGCCCAGGCATGCAAGAGGCAGCACGGCGTGGGCCGTGGCGGCGTGTTCAGAGCGGCCCAGGTACCCATCGGTCGTTGAAAGTAGTTTTTTTTTGATTCCCAGATTCCAATCTGCTTTCAGCGCCTCCCTACCTCAAGAGTCGAGTGGTTTCCCCTCTTCCTTCCTCTTTAG